TTTGAACCTCTTTTTCCAGGGTCAGGTAGGCTTCCATGTTGTATCCTCCTTCTTCTGGGTTATCATATTCCTCGTGGTAGAGTAAAATGGACTTCTTGTGCTTGAGTCCATAGTGATTTTATCAAATCACTTGATGTACGTCCTCCCGCCTCTGAGAATTGTCTCAGAATGCGTTTTATGGACTCTACTATGGCCTTTTGTCGGCGACATAGTGAAGGCAAGTTTCTGTAAGCCTCCGTTGGTTGCTGGCTCCGATCATTCGATTGTGGTTCGACATTTTGACCCACATGAGCACTTGATGCCTGATTTAGCTTGTCCATGCTTTCAGTAAACATCGCAACGTACGTTTTTAGTGTTTTACGCAGGGCGGTCTTATATGCCTTTGATATCTTGGTGTCGATTTCGTTAAATCTATTCCATGCATCCTCGAGAGCCGCCTTTTTTGTTTGGAAGTACGTTATATTCTGCTTCCTTTCTGGAGAGTCTTTTTTGAAGTTCCTATTATCTTCGAAATTTCATCTCCAATTTCTTGCTGCTCATTTAATGCCTCTGTGGCGGCAGCGTGTTCCTCCTTGTGGGAATCCATTTCGCCTCTTACTTATACTTTGACCCGTTGGGAGTATTTTATTCGCTTTGCAGCTGGATACGCAACCGATGTTGGTCAAAGTATAAGTACAGACGACGTACTGGATGGAGGTTTTGTGCTGGTGAAACGCACTTGTGATCTTGATATTATTAATCGTTGATCTTGTTGGCTGAGGATCTGAAAGTGACAGATCTGCCAATTTGTTCTACTTATTGGTAGGAGATTCTACCGTAAGTATGTGGCCTGCTGCCAGTTTGTGTTGAAAAGTCCTGGTGACTTCTTCAGTGTGATCTGCAGCTTTTCCTGCGTCGGGGTCACCAAATGTTAATCTGTGTTTGTGTGTCTGTGTGATTTGGTGCATACGGTACATAAACCGTTTACAAATTTGTCGTCGCAACTAGAACTTGAACCAGTTGGACTGCGGAGAGGGTTTCCTACGTCGAGCTAATGAGGGTCTGAAGACACGGCGACAGCCTCTATTGATTGCAGTTGTAGAGAATGAGTGAACAGGCAGTGATGGTACTGTTTCTGATACTGATTTTATTTAACAAACTTAAATTCTATTTATAGGTAACAAAAGGTACAGAAAGTGCTGAGTCTAGTAAGAATATGGTAAAAGGGAATTGGAGTTAATATTGAATTAATTTGGATTTAATATGATATTGTGTTATTGGGCAATTGTGATAGTCAGCAATTGCACCAGTGTTTTTGCCCTCTGAAGAGCGATCGCATCGTTGGCAGAAATTGCTGCAGAAGCGGTTATTGTTGACTCAGCTACAATGCTTTGTCGTTTGATATCATGTCTCCCGTTACATGGGTCGACCTGACTTCTTCGATAAGTGTATGTTATGTAATATTAATTAATGCATAAATATGCGACTGAACACCGGCTTAACTAGTCGAAGATCATGAAGCAGTGAGCTTTCATTTAACAAGGGTCTGAAGATGCCATTCGACCTTGGTAAACTGTATGGATACGGCTGACCAGAGTAGCTTTCATAAGAATAGGTTGTTTGGACAAATTTGGCAAAAAGATCGGCAATTGCCTGATCATTGTTTGCTGACATATTGAGAAAAGATAACGAGGATGGATGTGCGGACGTTCTACGCTTACTATTTACGAAGTTGTAAAACTGTTTAGGGTCCTGTGAAAATCGCATCCTGCATCGAGATAGGTAGGGCGTTAAGAACGGAGAAATTTGACTGAGCTATTACATAATGAGAAAGAGAAGAGGGAGAACCAACTTCTCGAAATTTTTTATAAAGTCTTGATTTTAAGTTTTTTAGACTGGATAACTCTTTGGTAAACCAAGGAGGCTTTCCAGATCTAACCGGACAGGAAAGTGGGACACAAGAATCAAAAAATGTGTCAAGTACATTGTAAGAAATGTTTGTGCCTTTCGTAACGTCAGTGCACAAATACAGAGCGGACCAATCAAAATCACTAATGAGGTTATTAAGCTTCGTAAACTCGGCTTTACGAAAGCAGCGGACACGTTCAGATATCCTACCCATTCGATCCAATAAAGTAGAGCCAATATCGACTGACACTTCGAATGTAGGATGGTAGGAGTCTTCTGGTATAGTGAGCGGAAGGGCTCGGGCTAACAACGCTATGGTCGGATCCGAGACAAAGCACAGATCAAGCACTCGACCCAAGGAACTTTTCAGATGGTTGACTTGAGACAGGGATAGGTCTAGCAGGCCGTCGATATAGTCATGTCGTGACATGGGCACAAGGTTATTAGACTCATTTACCGAAGACCAAACAGTACCGGGCAGATTGAAACTTAAAACTTTAAACTTAAGCTTAACCCCCAAAGGCTCCGGCCAAAACTTAGCGGAACAAATGGTTTCAAATTTAGTTGGGGAGACGCTTATCTTGAAGGAAGATATCTCCCTGGCGTAGGAAAAGTTAAATTTTTCCACCTTTAAGCCGACGGCTTTTATTTTGCTTTGTATAAAAGCGGTCACATCATTGGATGTCAGGTCAGGGGCTAGCCGCGATACAAAAACTTGTCGCTTTGGTGGGACTCCCACCAGTGGTTTTGGCACCACAGGCATAGTACCTGTGATGGCAGTATCCGGTGGTCCTGGACATATATTAGCTGGTAGGAGCGAAACTGAGGGGATAGTTAAGGGGTTGGGTGCGGACTCGATGGACACGGACTCTACGGACATTTCTAACTGCATACTCTCCGAAGTGACGCATTCGGCTCCCGAATCTGCATCACCAGCAGCGATCGTTGCCCTTGGAGTAGCAAACGTAGGGAGTGGTCGGAGTAAGTTTTTCAGATGTCGGCGGACATGAGGCAGTCGGTACTTGCAAGTCCCGCGGAGTTGACTTCTTGCGCCTCGGAGACTCAGCCAGCAGCTGTAAACTGCTGAACTGAGTGTCCATGGTCAAGAGCCGATCATATTGCTGTTTAAAGCCTACGATCAGCTCTTTGAAGCCACTCCGCGTCTGCCTCATGAACGAACGCATGTCGTTTTCCACAGCACGGCATTCGTCACAACTATAATGCAGGCCGTTGTTTTGGGAAATGGCGTCTCCAACACGGCCCGAGATCCCTACACATTTTGCGTGCACTACGCTTTCGCAAAGCCAGCAGGGGATATTGGGCTGGTCATGGGTGATCTGCTCCTTGCAGGTTTTTTTGGCACAGACGACAGAAAATTCCATATTTATGTCTTTTATTTTTTTTACTTCGGGAAAAAAAGTTCAAAACAAATAGCAATCAGACCACTGTGCAGAGCAAATGCTTAGAGCAATGCTTAAAGCGCAATCGGTAAAAGATGAGAGAGGAGAGTGGTTGCAGCAACAGCTTATAGGTGAGAGCGTTACTGCACAAAAAGTTACAAGAGCGAGAGCGAAAGAACAGTTATTGAGAGTTAGGTGATAGAGAGAGTGATTGACGGCAATAACTACGACAAAGAGCTGCTAAATGTAATGAGAGGGCGTACTTACGAAAAGCAACAACACAGACACACGACTAACCAACGCACAAAATGTATTAAATAAGTTGTGTTTTTACACAATTATCAGGCATGCACCCGCGGTAAAAGTATGATTTTAATGTAAGTTAGTTAGAGAGTTAAATTATAGATTTAAAAAAAATCCCGGCTGTTAAAGTTAAACACTTTTATTATAACTTTGTAACATTGACTATCTAAATCATAAGCAAAAACTCATAGATTCTAGTGAGAACAGCTAACTTTCTTTATACTTTTTGCGCACATTCGTACTGGGTAAACAAGTATCCGATTATGCGATGGAGCCACTGTATTTGATTGCAGATAACACTACTCGACAAAATTAAACATTTGATTTATGCTGTGAACCAAAATTAATTTTTCTGATAGATTTCGGGATTTAAAAATTTTTGTAGTACTTTATTATTTTTTTTATGGTGTCATTTTTTTTTAAAGAATTTTTAATATCTGGTATTTTTTTTTGGGTTTTTTTTTTCTAAATTTTGACTTTAAAAACTCGGGAAAAGTCGAAAAAAAATAATTCTTGGCCAACATTTTTGGTTTTTTATAGACGCATATAGCCATTTTATAGCCGTCGTTTAAGGTATTGCTCGTTTAAATCTATGGATAAACGGTGGAGCTAAAATTCGTTAACCAAACCTCAAAAGTGAAAAAATAGACAAAAAATACTTTTTACCAAAAATTCAACCCCTTTTTCGTTTGCTTTGTTTCCAATTGGCAGTTGGGTCCGCAACCTTCCGAAAAGTATTTTTTGTCTATTTTTTCACATTTGAGGTTTTGTTAACGAACTTTAGCTCCACCGTTTATCCATAGATTTTAATGAACAATACCTTAAACGACGATACAAAGTGTCTGGGTCGGATATATAACTGCATTTTTCAGCTTTTCAGAGCTGCAAAGGTCTATGCAACCAGATATAAGATACTTAAGTTATGTGAAAAATAGAAGCACTACCTCTGAAAAAAAACATTAAAAAAATACCAGATTTTAAAAAATTCTTTAAAAAAAAACTACACCATAAAAAAAACCATAATTCGTTAAAAATGTTTAAACCCCGAAATCTATCAGAAAAAGTTATTTTGGGCCACAGCCTAATTCTAGTGTTGCCTAGTGTTATTGAACATATATTCCTAAGCTGTTCTCGCAGTCCACACACGGTCCCGATAGGCAACTATCGATATAAATCGGCTCGTGTTGCTGGATACATACTCCAGGAAAATGTAAACGAAAAATTCCTGCTCCATTTTTTTTTTGTATTGAGTTTGACAGGAATTTTTCGATTCCGCGGTGCTGAATACTGTGCTAAAACTTAAATAATAATAACTTAATACTTAATGCTTTATTTAAAATTCTTAAAGGTAAATTGTACACCCACAAAATTGAAAGTGAATCCAATTCAGTTTCAGGAATACCCCAAATTGGTTGCGTACTGTTTTTTTTTACGTGCAGCATAAGGGCTCTAGATGAATAAGGGTTACTTTCTTTTATATAAAATACGTGATAAATAGGAAAATGTATACCATCATATCAAGCTCACACCAAATATAAACGTATGTAAGTCTATATGTATTTCATTTCTTAGTGATATATGTGTGTCGGTATAACGTTATTTAAAAAAAAATTGATGTATACAAAGTAACGATATGCATTTGCACATTTACAGACATACAGTAAGAACAACATTTATTCGTACACCCTTCTCACTCTAGTTTGAACACCTTTAACTTGGCGTACGGTTAAGTCAAATAGATATGAATTAATTTTATATCAAAGATCAATATATCTTATTGTTTCACACAAAACATTTTTTAAGCAGTGCCGTTTTCAAGGAGTCTGTTGGATAATTTGTGGTTTCCGTATCTTGATTTTAAAATTTTCTTCAAATATGCTCCATGGAATTTACATGTACATATGTCGGGTATTTGGAGTGGAGGCCACATTTGATCGAAATAGATGAATTTTTGGGAAGTTGTTTGGCTGGAACAAGATTGTATTAGGATTAGGCCCAACTTTAATTGTACATGGATAAAAATTGCCACTCAAAATATGATTTTACATATTCTTAATTATATATTCTTAATTAATATCCTTAATTAAGACTATTCGTCCAGCTCCAGCTGGACCTATACACCCACCACTATGCTCCCTTCGCCTTATTTTACAGTTCGGATCCGATCCGAGCCAATTTTACTTTGAACGTTGATATGCAATGAATGCACCATCAAGTGGCCCATGCGACAGCCAGCCGAAACCTGTTACGCGCGGATCCCAGGTAGAGACGCAGCCCTCATCCCGGCCAACCGACCGAGGGGCGCAGCCGAATGACGCGAGACTCGTATAACAAACCAGTTGCGAACATGCAGGAAAGATTAGAGCTAAATACGAGGGCTGTCACAGAAATAGCCGACCTAAACACTAAAACACAAATATTGAATTTTTTTTTATTTTTACATTTTTCCATTTCTTCATCCCTTCCAAAAATTAGGATATGTCGAGGTTTGTGAGATGACTTCATCATTGGACTAAAATCTTTTTCCGCCGAGACATTTCTTCAGGTTTGAAAACAAGAAAAAGTCACTAGGAACTAAATCCAGAGAATAGGGTGAGTGAGGGAACAATTCGTAGCCTAATTCATGGATTTTTGTAATGGAAACTGCACATGTCTGCACCCTTTGCTTTGTCCTGGTGGAAAATAACTTTTTTCTTGGCCAAATGCGGTCCCTTCTTTTACAAATGCCCATTAAATCGATTCAATAAGTTGGCATAATATTAGCCATTGTCTGTTTTACCCATTTTAACGGTAACACTAGTCAACACGACATTTCCGCTGTGGCCCAAAATGACTTTCTGATAGATTTCGGGGTTTAAAAACTGTTAACGAATTATGGTTTTTCTTAAGAATTTTCTAAAATCTGGTATTTTTATACCCGTACTCAAAAAAGAGTTAAGGGGTATATTAGATTTGTGGTAAAAGTGGATGTGTGTTACGCAGAGAAAGAAACGTTTCCGACCCCAAAAAGTATATATATTCTTGATAAGCATCAATAGCCGAGTCGAGTCTGTCTGTCCGTCTGTCCGTCCGTCCGTCTTGTTTGACGCCTGGATCTCAGAGACTATAAAAGCTAGAGGAACCAAATTTTGTTTCCAGACTCATGTGATATCACACTGCTACAAGTGTATTTCAAAATTTTGCCCCGCCGCCTTCCGCCCCGACAAAAGACGAAAATCTGTGGCATGCACCATTTTAAAGATACGATCAAATTTAAAGCGCAGTATCGTAGAGAATGACCATATCTGACAGATTGCCGAATCTGAACTAGATCGGATCATAATTATAGCCAGAATGAAGAAATTAATTTTCTGGTGCTTCCCCTTCCCACTCCTGCCCACAACAACGAAACTCATTTTCCTTCTCGCTCGCACACTCTTCCGCGTTCAGTGCGCGAGCAACCCCTAGCGGAGGAGATGTAGAATCTAAATGGTACATGTAGAATATACATGTTAGATGTATAATATCCATAATATATGTAGATGTAGATAACAGATGTAGCAAAAAAATTTAAAATGTAAAATTTTTTTATTTTTTTTAATTCTAAATAATTATATGCTCAAAAATGTATATTTGTGACTGAGTACGGGTATAAGTAGAGTCGCGTCCCCAGAAGCGACTCACACGTTCCTTCTCGTTTTTAATGTTTTTTTCAGAGGTAGTGCTTTTATTTTTCACATAACTTAAGTATCTTATATCTGGTTGCATAGAACTAAGTAGTTCTGAAAAGCTGATCCAGCTATAAACTCGACCCAGACACTTTGTAGCTGCAGCTTAACGCCTGGAAATTTCAAATTTCATAATTTTTTTCGGTATTTTTCCCAGACTTTAAAAACTCGGGAAAAGTAAAAAAAAAAGATAGTTCTTGGCCGACATTTTTAGTTTTAGATAGACGTATTAATTAAGCGTCGTTTAAGGTATTGCTCATTAAAATCTATGGGATTGTCAGCTTTTCAGAACTGCAAAGTTCTATGCAACCAGATATAAGATAATTAAGTTATGTGAAAAATGGTAACACTACCTCTGATAAAAACCATGAAAAAAAAATCAGATTTTAAAAATTCTTAAAAAAAAATTAAACCATAAAAAAAAAGTACTAAAAAAATTATTAAATCCCGAAATCTATCAGAACGAGAAGGAACGTGTGAGTCTCTTCTGGGGACGCGACTCTACTTATACCCGTACTCAGTCAGTATATACATTTTTGAGCTTATAATTTTTTAGAATTTAAAAAAAACGAGAAGGAGCGTGTGAGTTGCTTCTGGGGACGCGACTCTACTTATACCCGTACTCAGTCAGTATATATATTTTTGAGCGTATAATTTTTTAGAATTTTAGAATTAAAAAAAAAATTTTTACATTTTAAATTTTTTTGCTACATCTGTTATCTACATCTGTATATTCTACATCTAACATGTAGATTATACATGTACCATTTAGATTCTACATCTCCTCCGCTAGGGGTTGCTCGCGCACTGAACGCTGCAGAGTATGCGAGCGAGAAAGAGAATGGTGAGAAGAGAAACGTGTTTCTGAATGGTGAGGCGGAGGAAGCAAATTAAAAATAAATCTCTTCATTCTGGCTATAATTATGATCTGATTCAGATTCGGCAGTCTGGTAGACATGGTCATTCTCTACGATACTGCGTTTTCCGTTTTCTCGTATCTTGAAAAATGTGCCTGCCACAGATTTTCGTCCTTTGTGGCGGTGGAAGGGGGCGGGGCGAAATTTTGAAATACACTTGTAGCAGTGTGATATCACATTAGTCTGGAAACCAAATTTGGTTACCCTAACTCATATAGTCTCTGAGATCCAGGCGCTCAACAAGACGGACGGACAAACAGACATGGCTATATCGACTCGGCTATTGATGCTGATCAAGAATATATATACTTTATGGGGTCGGAAACGTTTCCTTCTCTGCGTTACACACATCCACTTTTACCAAAAATCTAATATACCCCTTAACTCTTTTTTGAGTACGGTTATAAAAAGTCATCTTGGTTCACAGCGCAAAGAAAAAGTTCAATTTTGTCGAGTAGTGTAACCAATGTGGTCAATTCGCAAGCATTCCAAAAAAACGTTCTCCATGACTTTATTGGCTGTAAAACCCACTGGTCTTCTTAAGCAATCGCGACAGCCATCTTCTGCATAGCTATTTCATGTCCACCTTTCCGGTCAATATGCAATGTACAGCACTTTTTAATATGCCTACACAATCAGCTAACTCAAGAACTTTCAATCGCCGATCATCCAATACACATTTTAAAATTTTTGGCACCATTTTTTATGTGGTCCATGTTTGGTCTCCTAGCCGAGCATTATTCAGTATTTATAGTCAGTGGTGCAGCCTTAAAGTAAATCTTGTTATTTGTACGTTATTTGAACCGAAAAGTCGTACAGTCGTAAAATCGTACAGTGGGCACAGTACCGAATTTTAATCTACATGTATCTACACGCCGCTCACTTTAATAGACGTTTCAACCTTTCTTTCTATCACCTTTAACTATCACTTTCTCGATCTATCACTCTCTCGCTCTCTTTTCGTAGCATCGCGTAGGGCACGGGCAATTCGGTCCGTTTGCCATAACATGCCATCGCAAATGGTCATGATCTGGTCTTCCACTTGCATGCCTTTGCAATCTCTCGCATTTTCTGTCGTCGCATATATAGTACATACGCATATATTTGGTCAATTGGTAACACACGATTCGCGGTCTATATATGCATCTCGCTTCTGCTGATCAAGAATATATACACTTTATGGGGCGAAAACGTTTCATTCTCTGCGTTGCACACATCCACTTTTACCACAAATATGGGTATATTATATTTGTGGTAAAAGTGGATTAACTTAACTTTTCGAGTACTGGTATATAAAATGTTTACACTCAAAGCTTATACTAAAGTATTTATTGATTGGTTGAGTAGAGTTACTTGAACAAATTAAATTTTACAAAATATCGCAAGTACATTAATTCAAATAAAAATGAAGAAAATATTATTAAACCAAAAACAAATTTAAATTTGTATTATGTTATTGTTTTCATTTACCAGAAGATCAATGAATGAAGTGTCATCATTAAATATATTATTTTATTCGTCCTTAAACAATAAGATTGATTTAAACCTTTTCGTCGTCATATTCACGAAGCATGACCTTAACATACTAAAAATATGCATGACCATCTACGATTAAGAGTAATCTGTTAAGGCAAAATAGCAAGCTCACACTTGCATCTTAGTTGAGTCCATGCTAAGCAAAAAGTAAAATTTTTTCTTTACTGATTCTATACGGTCCTGGTGTACTTTATATTTATATTATATTGGGGGCACCATACACAAGAGCCTTACTCTAAACAAACAAGCGAGATATAGAGAGTCTTCGTTATATAGGGGTAGTCAATTTCCTTTGACCACCTCTTTTATAAACCCAAGCACGCCCATGGCCATATTTACCATGGTAGAAATGTGTTCAGAAAACTTTAACTTGGGGTCTGGTTTAACATCAAGATCATCAACCAAGGTAATTCTCTCTCCTTGCTTAGTAATAATTTGTTTTTTTCTGTCAGAACTTTTTTTTAAAATATTAAAAAAAAAATTTACCAACGTTCCCAATCTATTGGAAAAATTCGGTTTGGTTAAAATCGGAAAAAAGTTAAATTTTGTCGAGTGGTGTTATCTTAAAAAAAACGTGATAAATTTACTGATATGAGTATTGTGAATCCGCAACTTTCGTGCCGATAACCAAAAAAATATCTATGTTCATTGGTGTAGGAGCTGTGAGCGTAATAAAATACAAAATTGGGGGAGCCCCTTAAACTGATTTTTAAGAGCCCCTTAAACTGATTTTTAAATTTTGTCCAAAAATATTAGTGTTTCTTTTTCCCGTCAGTGTTGTCATTTTAGTTTGTGATTTATCTTTGGTTTAAACCAAAATCTATGCGTAACATAATTTTTAGGTTTATTGGAAAAAAGTGGCTCAGTCCCCGTTATGACACACGTCATAATACCGTTTGTGGACATCCTGGTTTTTTTGTGTTTTGTGCTAAGAAACTGCAAAATAGAATTGTTGAAGTTAACGAAACGTATTTTATTATAGTGTTTATTAGGCTGGGTCAAAATTTTTTTTTTTCGAAATTCATTCGGGACACATTCTAGTTTTGTTACCTTGGATTTAATAGTAATTTACATGTTTTTATTTTTAATTTTTTAGAGGTTGTTGGTTTTTACAAAAAATTTAATCAAGAAAATGTAAACAACATTTTTTTTGCTGAATGAGTTGGATAATTGGTGAAGTCTATTGCATATATACCATTCATATCGTCATTAATCAGTTATTGGCAGTAAAAAACCTGCTCAAGTTTTTGTGAACCAGTTAACTAAATATATCAACCTCAGCTGAACTTCTTGATGTTCACCAATCGGTAATTTTTTAACAGTAGCAAAAAAAAAAAAAAAATACCTTATTATCAATATGAAATACTTTCTAAGTCTTAATTTTATTTGAAAAACCGAGGAATTCAATTTATTTTTTATGCCCGTACTCAAA